CTCAGATTGTTTGCTCAGCATACAGACTGAATAAGTATGGTGAAAGGATACAAGCCTGACGCACACCTCTCCTGACTTTAAACCACGTAGTATCCCCCTGTTCTGTTCGAAGGACTGCCTCTTGGTCTATGCACAGATTCCTCATGAGCACAATTAAATATTCTGGAATTCCCATTCTTCGCAATGTTATCCATAATTTGTTATGATCCACACAGTCGAAAGCCTTTGCATAGTCAATAAAACACAGGTAAACACCTTTCTGGTATTCTCTGCTTTCAGCCAAGATGCATCTGACATGAGCAATGATATCTCTCATTCGCTGTCCTCTTCTGAATCCAGCTTGAATTCCTGGTAGTTCCCTGTCAATGTACTGCTGCAACCATTTTTTGGATGATCTTCAGCAGAATTTTACTTGCATAAGATATTAATGATATTGTTTGATAATTTTTGCATTCTGTTGGATCACCTTTCTTTGGAATGGGCACACATACGGATCTCTTTCAGTCAGTTAGTGACTGTAATATATTAAAAAAATTATAGTTCCCTGAAGAATTATTGGTCTTTCTTAAGAGGAGTAGAGCATAATGTTGCGTAGGCTCTAATGTCAGTGGTACGTGACTGTGACCACAGGCAAGTTATTTAACATCTCTGTGCCTTGATTTTCTCATCAGTAAATTATTGTTGCAAGAATAAAATGGGCACAAAAAACCTCACACAAGAAGCACTGCATATTTACTATGTTTTATTATTACTATTATTATTCCCTCTGCCTTTCCATGTTATATGGCTCCCCGTATTACTGGGATGCTCAATTTCTATCTTCTTTTCCCAGGATATGTGGACTCTGCTCCTCCTTCTCTTGAAGCTACCGTTTACTCTCTTTCCAGTGTGAGGCATACCTCAGCATCCCTTCTCTCTGGTTCCCACAGCACCTTTGGTTAGTTTGATGGCTAACTGTAGCACAATCATAGCAGCTCTCCCTCTAGATTGAAAGGTCTATGAGTGCTGGGATTTGATTCTGTTCCTGGTATAAGCAGGACCCAGCACATGGCCAGAAGGCAGAATACACATAATAAATGTTTGCTGCAGAAATAAATAATCTTATCTGGGGCTTCAGCTGGTGAATCTTTTAAACGTCCTAGAAAGAGCTATTACTATGGCAGAGATGATCGTTCTCTACAAATGACTTCTAAATCTCCCTATAGTAACCTAGCCTAGTAGAGGCCACAAATAGATAAGTTTAAAAAAAAAAAAAAAAAAACAAGAAAGGAAAAAAGTCTATTACTGACCCTTAAACAGTCTATTCCATTAATGAGAACATTATTAAAACCATTACATCCATGACTCATAAAAATGGGAACTATAAATGTACAAATTTAACACAGAAGTTAGCCAATGCTTGTACACTGAAAACTATAAAATATTACTGAAAGAAATAAAAACCACTTAAATAAATGGAATGACACTCTGTGTTCATGGACTGGAAGACTTAATATTGTTAAGATGGTGTTATGGATTGAATTGTGTCCCCCAGAAATCTGTGTCTAGGCCATGATCCCCAATATTGTGATTGTCCTCCATTTTGTCATCTTTCCTTGTGTTGTAAATTCTGCCTCTATGATGTTAATGAGGCAGGATTAGAGGCAGTTATGTTAATGAGGCAGGACTCAATTTACAAGACTAGGTGGTGTCTTAAGCCAGTCTCTTTTGAGATATAAAGGAGAGAAGTGAGCAGAGAGACAGGGGGACCTCATACCACCAAGAAAGTAGTGCCAGGAGCAGAGTGCATCCTTTGGACCTGGGGTCCCTGCGTGGAAAAGCTCATACACCAGGGGAAGATTGATGACAAGGACCTTCCTCCAGTGCTGACAGAGAAAGCCTTCCCCTGGAGGTGGCACCCTGAATTCGGACTTCTAGCCTACTAGACTGTAAGAGAATAAATTTCTGTTTGTTAAAGCTATCCGCTTGTGGTATTTCTGTTATAGCAGCATTAGATAACTAAGACAGATAACAATACCACCCAAAGCAATCTATAGATTCAACACAATGCCCATCAAAATTCTAATACCGTTCTTTGTAGAAACTGAATCCTCTAATTTTTATGGAACTGCAAGGGGCCCTGAACAGCCAAAGCACTCTTGAAAAAGAACAAAAAAGTAGAGGACTCACACTCCTGATTTCAAAACATACTACAAAGCTACAGTAATCAAAACAGTCTGGTACTGGTATACTAACAGACATATAGACCAATGGAATAGAATTGAGAGTCCAGAAATAAATCCATACATCTATGGTCAACTGATTTTTGACAAGAGTGCTAAGTCCATTCAATGGGTAAAGAATAGTCTCTTTAATAAATGGTGCTAGAACAACTGGATTTCCATATACAGGAGAATGAAGCTGGACCCATACTTCATACCACATGTGAAAATTAAACCAAAATGGATCAACGACCTAAATGTAAGAACTAAAACCATAAAATGCTTAGAAGAAAACGTAAGGGATCTAGTCTTTGACAATGGTTTCTTAGATATGACACCAAAAGCATGGACAAGAAAAGACAATATATAAATTGGAATTCATCAAAATTAAAAACTTTTGTGCATCAAAGGACTTGATCAGCAAAGAGACAACCTACAGATTGGGAGAAAAATTTTGGGAACCAATATTGGTTAAGAGTTTAATGTCCAGAGTATATAAACAACTCCTACAATTTATAACAAACAGACAACCCAATCAAAATAGGCAAAGGACTTGAACAGACATTTCACCAAAGAAGATATATAAATGGCCAACAAGCACATGAAAAGATGCTCAATGTCATGAGTCATTAGGAAAGTGATAAAACAACAACAACAAAAAGAAAACAACAGGTGTTGGTGAGAAGGTGGAGAAATTGGATCCCTCATCCACTGTGAGTGGAATTGTAAAATGGTGTAGCCACTGTGGAAAACAGTTTGGCGACTCCTCAAAAAGTTGACATGCCATTACCACATGACCTAGAAATTCCACTCCTAGGTATACACCCAAAAGAATTGAAAGCAGGAATGCAAATAGATACTTGTACACCAATGTTCACTGCAGCACTTTTCACAATAGCCAAAAGGTGGAAACAACTCAAGTGTCTATCAACAGATGAATAGATGAATGGATACACAAAATGTGGTACATATGCTAAAGGTTTGGGGTCACTGCTAACCGAAAGGCTGGCAGTTTGAACACACCTAGCAGCAACAAGAAAAAAAGGCCTGGCAATCTGCTTCCGTAAAGATTACAGCCAATAAAACCTGACGGAGCTCAGTTCTACCCTGTGACGCATGGGGCTGCCATGAGTCAGAATTGACTCAATGGCAATAGTTTTTTTTTTTTTTTTTAATATATGTGGCATACATACTACGGAATATCACTCAGCCATTAAGAGAAATGAAGTCCTGATACATGCAACACATATAAACCTTGAAAACATTATGCTGAGTGAAATAAGTCAGTCACAAAAGGACAAATACTATATTTGAAATATCTGAAATATCTAGAACAAGCAAATTTATAGAGACCAAAGTTCATTAGTGGTTACCAGGGGCAGGAGGGACGGGGAAAGGGGGAGTCATTGCTTAGGGAGCAGTGAGTTTCTGTTAAGGGTGATGAAAAAATTGGAAATGGATAGCGGTGATGGTTGCACAACATGATAAATAAAACTAATGTCACTGAATTGTACATATAAAAAATGCTGAATTGGCCAATGTTTTGTTATACGCATTTCTGCCACCAAAAAGAAAAAAAGTTAGCCAATGGTAAAGCCCCCTTCCAAACTCTGGAGACATAATCGATAAAGTATAGGTACACACAATGCTTTAAAGTGAGAATCATTATAAGGAGCTTACAATCTAAGGAGTACAACTTAGCACATTATTGTTCACATCAAGAAATCACACTGACCATTCAGAAAGGTCTTATACCTTTAATTAAAAAGATTATCAGTTAGACTCTGAAAGCCATGAAGAGGAAAGGGAAGCACTTTGCAAAGGATTAAAATACAATTTATTTATACATTATAGAGCGTTTAAACCAGCGTGTTTATTCCTTGATAGCAACAATCTTTTAACATCTCAAGAAGATGATGTGAACTAAATCGAATATCTGTAATTGTTGATAGCCTTGATAGAGGCCCATTTGTTCTACTACTACTAAATACTGAGGTAATGTCTTGCTATATTCTTATTAATGTTTTTGTTAAAGCATATAATTTAAAAAACTGTGAGGCTTGTACTGTATTTTTTTCACAAATAATGCATGCATTATACACTTTCTGCCAACTGTGCAACCCCCTGCGTTATTTTCATAAGCACGCTGTGCCAATTTTGTTTTATATGTTGCTGACTTCAATTGACACTAAGAAGACATAATTAAACTATGAAATAAGCAGACCTAATATAACCTAATGGTTTCACTTAAGATGATCTGATAAGGTTTTCACATTAAATTGTTGAGCTAATGTGCTGTAATTATCAACTTAAATTAACAGAAACAAGCACACAGTTTTGATTGTTATTTTCTGATTACTGGGGGACTACTAAACTCGATTCATGACTTCTTGACCATGGCTTATACTTTTATTATAATTATGGCCAAAAGTAACATTTTTGGACGATTTTTATACACATAAGCAGGAGATTTAATGAAAATGAACAGAACAAAAGATTTACAATATGATTTACTATAATATGGGATGACAGGCGAATGAGGCTCAAATTCACTTCTGGAAATGTCACTAGACATGTGTGGTATATGCATGGGCATGCTATGCCTGAACTGTTTTACTTAATTTCATCATTTCTGTGCATTATCTGCATGTGTGTGTTATTTACATGGGCACGTCATTTACGAAAAACACGGTAATTTATTTTAATATTTATATTATAGATAGGAATTATACTATACAGGAGAAACATCTTATATCTATATTTCAACAAAGTTATTTAAAGAAAAAAGAAGGTACTTACCACAACTTGCAGCACCTGTTCGTTGTGAATTGAGGAGGAGGAGGAAGAGGAAGAAGAGGAAGAGGAGGAGGAAGAGGAAGAGGAGGAGGAAGAAGAGGAGGAGGAGGAAGAATAAGATGAAGAAGAGTCGGCCATCATTTGTGCCAAAGTCTGCATCAATGTTTTTCCAAGGAGGAAAAAAGAGCTAAACATGGCAATTACTCCAAACACCATTCCAAAATTGAACCTGCCAAAAGGAAAAAAAATCATGTAAATGGATAATTCCTCACAATTCATGAAGGAACACATTTATCAGCTAGCCACATTTCATAGCTTCAAAATAATTGCTAACAATTTCAATAACTCTGCATCTTTTTCCTACCTGAACTTCAGATACTTGACTGAAGCACAAGCACTAGTCTACTTAAGCCATTCTAATAATTTATAATTCTGTGATAACTGAAGAGGCTGAATATCGTTCACAATAAAAAATAGTGTCTGTTTCCTCTCCTGTCTTTTGCACATGTACATATCATTGTTTTGATCTTGTTCTCATATGGTAACGAAAAAAGCTCTTTCTTATAGACAGCATCTTTTTCATCTACCAATTCTAGTGTTTGCATTTTTATTTTAGTTTTATCTTGTGATAAATTACTCTAAACATTAATGTGGTAAGATATAACAATAGTTTCTTTCTTCTGCTGTTTTAACAATTAAAAGTTGCCCTTCTATAGTTGGGAAAAATCTATTACTTATTCTGCTAACTTAAAAAACAACTTTTTACTGTGGCAAAGTATATACAACATAAAACCTGCCATTTTACCTGCTAACTTTTTCATAAGTGGTGTTTTTCAAGGAACTTACCATTTCACCTAAATTGTCAAATGTATAGGTGTAGAACTGTTCACAATAGTCTTATTTTTTTTTTTAATGTCTATAGAATCTGTAGTAATGTCCTATTTTTCACTTTTGATTTTTGGTTACTTGTGTTTTCTTTCTTTCTTGATCAGTCATGGTAGGGGTTTATTAATCTTTTCAAAGAGCCAACTTTTGGCTTTGCCGATTTTCTCTACTGTAGGTTTATTTTCTATTTCATTGATTTCTGCTCTTTTATTACTTCCTTCCTTCTACTTTGTTTCCTTTGATTTGCTCTTGCATTTTCTGCTAACTTTTTGATGATCTGATTGTTTACATTTAACTCTATTCCTTTTGGAACTAAATTTTTAACAAAAAGGAATTTTAGACAACCTCCCTCCCCCCATACTAGAAATTCTCTGAACCACAGAACCTGTCAGTGTTAGGGCATCCTAGAGATCACTGTAAACCCCTTAACTGTAAATACCATAAATTCTTCGGATTTTTAATGTATGCAAAAACACAACGATGCAATCCCATAAGTAAATATAAAACCAGAAATTTCTTATACTGTCAACCTTTTAAAACTCAGTAGATTGAAAAATGATTGATAATAGCTAAGTTAACAAGTTATTTCTCATCACCACAACGACTATTTCAAATCAAAAAGAGAAGATAAATACCATTGGTAAAGCAGCCTTGCTTTCCGCCGTCCCCAACTGTAAAAGGTACGATTGAAAACAGCAGTTTGCCATCTTATGTGAAAAGGGGAGATGCTCAATCCATTGTTTTCCAGCCAGTCTTCATAAGAATGCTTAAAATAGACAGATGACTAGAAGAAAAAGAAAAAATTCCATTCAATTTTGAATAACAATTTATAATGTTTTAGAAAATAAAAAAAAAGTATTTTCTAAAGGAAATCAAGACACTGACTGCTCAAATGTTTATAATTTTAAAGCTTTATGTTCATTCTTGAGGATTTTAAAGGAAGGGTCTCAGATTAGCTCGTCTGCTGAAGATACGGTCTGGCAAACCACGGCCCATGGGCCATATTTAGGTGATAGCCCGTTTTCGTATAGCCTGTGAGCTAAGAATTGTTTTTACATTTTAACAGGATGGTAAAAACAACCAAACCAAACAAACTATCCATCCAAGAATATGAAACAGAGACCCTTCATGGCCCACAAAGCCTAAAATATTTACTACCTGGCCCTTTACAGAAAAAGTTTGCCGACCCCAACTTAGAACAGCATCGTCCAAAAGAAGCATAATGCAAGACACATGTGATTTTAAATTTCCTAGCAGCCACATTTAAAAAAGTAAACAGAAATAGGTGAGACAAATTTTAATTAATTTAATAATGTTTTCTTTAACCCAAAGTATCCAAATATTATACATTCAACATGTAATTAATTTCAAAAAATTGGGATACTTCATTCTTTTTTTGTACCAAGTCTTTGAAATCGGTGTGAACTTACACTTACAGCACATCTCAATTCGGACTAGCCACATTTCAAATGCTTAACAGTCACCTTATTGGACAGCGCAGGTCTAGAAGCCATTACCACAGGAAAAAAAAGGGGTCTTGTGCTATAATTTAAAAAGACCCCAGCAACCAATGCAACAGAAGGGTCAGGTTAGTTGGAATCAGTGCTTTCTATCTTCTGAGTAACAACACTAAGAAGTTAGGCTGACTTTAATCATGTAAAAGTACAAAACTTATCTAAAGCCATCTTTGTCTCGGTGACCTCTCGCTTCAATTTTCTGGGGTTGGGGGGATAGATGCTTATATGCAGCCCTAACAAGAGTTTTAGCTTCTGGGAAGTTTGAAGTCCCTGACTTATGTAGGATTTTGGATATCAGGTTGTGTAATACACCTGACACTGATCCCTATTTCCACAGTTAAAGTAAGTATAGTAAGTACTCTTACTGATGCCCATTTATCTGAGAAACTTATCTGTTCCTAGAAGGATACTTCAGCCCTATCACTGTTATTAAAAAATAACCTGAGTCTGAATATAGGTGTTTATTTGCCATTGGATCTGTATATTCTCTGCCCTTGTCTTCTGGAGAAGTTTTAAAAATCTTTTTGTTTCCCAGGAGTTGGAAAAGGAGAGAGACACACCCCTTCAGCAGAGGAAATCCTAGAAGAACAAAGGGTGGAATGGCAGACCAAGCTGGAAACGGAGAAGTTGAAGGTGCAGGCTCCAAAAAAATCCAAGTCTCTCCATCATGGAGCAGATACTCTGAATGAGTATCAGGTCTTTTGCTCACAGGATCTTGTTCTCTTAGGGAGCAGGAGTTGTCACTGAAATTAAAGGGACATCCTGATCACCTCACACATTTGACCAGAGACTGCAGAGGTTTGTAAAGTCCTTTTTATTTTGGATTTTTTCATATATGCAACACGAAGACATCATGTGGCTTTTTTTTTAAACAACAAAATCATTGTTTAAAGAAGCAGTGGCTTGGACTGCTTATAATATGCTGAACACTATGCCAAGAACTTTACATCAGTGCTTCGCAAACACAAACACGCAGCTGGGGATCTTGTTAAGATGTAGATTCTGATTCTGTAGGTCGGGGTAAAGCCTGAGATTCTGCATTTCTAGTAAGCTCCCACATAAAGCAATACTACTGGTCCTTGAACCTCAGGTTGAGCAGCAAGGTGTAATGTGGATGAACTAATGTAATCCTTTCTACAATTTCAGGAGATCTTTACTATTATTACCACTATATTAAAGATAAGAAACCGAGACATAGAGAGTAGTTTGCCCAAAGTCCCAACGTCTAGGAAATGGCAGAGTACAGCCCTTGCTGTAACTACTACACTGTATAACCTCCTGCACTTCCCAAGTTCAAAGGCAATAAAGAAGTACAAGTCTCATTTCATTTTACTTTTAAATCTAAAACACACAATGCCAAACTATAGTATTCCATTTAAAAGGTATTCACAACATTAAGATTCTACTATTCACAATGGGAATGTTTTAAACATTCGAGAATTTACGGCTAGATTTTATTCCACACATACAGTCGTTCCTCCCCTCATCCCCATTCAACTCCAAAAAGTTGCCTGAAGCAAGTGCTCAGATTTTGCTACCCTTTCCAAGTAAGTGAAGAGTGAACCCTTCCACCCAGGGTGTGTGTATGGGTGAGGGAGGGGGAAAGACGTTGGTGTGAAGGAGATGCAGGGTGCAAAAGTACAAGTTTAAGTAGTCGGAAACTAGTTAATCTAAATCTCTGCTACTTAATTACCCTACTTTGAAGTATGGTTTGAGGGGAGCAGCTTCGGTAGCACTTGGGAACTTGTAGAAATGCACAATTTTAGACCCCACCCGAGACAGACCAACTGAATCAGAATCTGCATTTTAACCGGAAGTCCAGATGATGTTATGCACATTCAAGTTTGAGACCACTGCTCTAAATCACTTGATTCATTCTAATATCACAATCTATAGAGGGTAGTGGTGACCTTAAAGACAATGAGGGAAAACAACGCCTTTTCTAAGCAGACGCTTTATTTTTCTCCTCAGTGTACTGCCGCCGGGTCTGATGGACCTTATCCCTCCTCAGTCCGCCACCGGCGCCTCCCGGGCAGGAACCGGCACAAAGACTGCGGCAGCGACAGCCCGCGGGCCGCCACACCCCTCCTGCTGCGGACCTTGCTTTATTTACTCCACGGGGCCGAGGCACTGCATGGAAGGCCGTACGTGGGCACGAGCCGCGCGGCTTCCAGCCCGGGAGGCGCGAGGCAGGGTAAGAGAAAGAAGGCCTCGGGCGACGCAGGGCCTTGCGCCTCCGGCCCTGGGCCCCGCGGGCTTGGGACTCAGGCCCGAGGCCCTCACCTTCAGTACCAAGTCGGTCAGGTAGACGGCAGTCCAGCCGCCCACCACCACCACCACCAGCGACACCGGAATCATAGCGGCGGCGGCGGCGGCACTGGAGGGAAGGCGTGCCCTGGCGTCTTCCTCCCTGTGATCCGCAACGAGCCGGCCGCGCGGCGCCTACAATCCCAGCATCCTCGAAGGAACCAAGGTGCCTCCGGTTCCTTTCTCGCAGTGGTTTCGTTTCCCTCCGGACTCTTCTGGCGAGGCACGCGGACGTCCGTACGCCCGCCGGAAAAGGCGCGGGGACTTAGTTTCGTGGTACACTCGGGTGCTGCAGTCGTGGCGTTACCTCGGCGTCTGATTCCAGTTCTCCAGCGATTAGCCCTCTATCGATTTCTTACGCTTTGGCCCTCGCTTCTGTCTGCTATCCATCCTCACCGGTTCTGCTTTGGGGTTTGCTGTTCTTTTTAATCTAGTGAGGGTGTGGGGGTCATCTGAAGTAATAATTGTCTCCGCCTCCTCGACCCGGCCACAGTTACCCAGATTTATTTAAGTTAATTGAGTCAAGTATGTTGGTGCTTGTTATTGAAGTGTAATTTACATATTGTGAAATCATTTATACAAATCTCAGCTGCCCATCTCGATGAGTTTGAACATTCCATCTTCTCAGGAAGTTCCCTCGTGCCGTTTCCCAGTCAGTCACCCCCCACCAGCAGCGTTCTGATTTTTTGTTTTTTAACTTTATGTAAATGCGATCATACAATAAGTACTCTTGGATTTGGCTTATTTCGCTCAACATAATATTTTTGAGATTTATCCATATTGCTAGTTAAATTAGGTTGTTCTCTCAACATCTTCCATTATAAAATTTGAGTTGGCGCCACGGTTAAAAAAAAAAAGCTCTGAACATCTGCACATATTTTTATGTTGACATATACCTGATTATATATTGGACTAAAGCAGTGGTTCTTAACCTTGGCTGCACATTAGGATCACCAGGGGGCTTTTAAGATTCCCTATACCCATTCTGTAGCCTAGACCAATTAAATCAATCTGTGGATGTGACCTAAGTATCGGTATTTTTTAAGCTCAGGTCATTTCACTATGCAGCCAAGGCTGAGAACCACTGAACTAGATTAACGGGAAGAAAAAATAATATTTACCGAGTGTTTTTTTTTTTTTTTCATTCTCTCCATGTTTAAATCTTTAAAAATTATCATTTTAAATTTTCTGGAAAAGCATCATGAGCAATAATAATACTAATACCAAAATAAGAATTGTTAGGTGCCGTTGAGTTGGCTCCGACCGATGGCTACCCTACGTACAACAGAACAGAATATCCTGTCCTAGCCATCCTCGTGTTCTTTGGTATGCTCGAGTCCATTGTTGCAGCCACTATGTATTTTGAGTGCCTTCCAACATAGGGGGCTCGTCTTCCAGCACTATATCAGACAATATTCTATTGTGATCCATAGGATTTTCATTGGCTAATTTTTGGAAGTAGATTGGCAGGCCTTTCTTCCTAGTCTGTCTTAGTCTGGTAGCTCTGCTAAAACCTGTCCACCCTGGGTGACCTTGCTGGTATTTCAAATACTAGTGGCATAGCTGCCAGCATCATAGAAACAAGCCACCACAGTACGACAAGCTGACGGGCTTATACCAAAATATCAAGAACATAATGCTATCTTAAGTATCCCAAATAAAAATGCACCTTCAACCCTTCAAAGTGAAAATACAATACCAGGAACCTATATTATAGAAATTGCTTCTCATTTGCCTTACTTATCCATACTTTTCCTAAAGTTTTAATCATTTAGCAACATATTTCTCTAGCTTCAAGAAACTTCAAGTTTCAGTCTTAAATCTTCTTGCATTTCTATGTATATATGTGTTGTTATAAATTGTTTAAGTTTATTTAAATTTCTTTTACACTTATTTAGTTTTGTGAATTTTGAATAATATTTTTTAGTTCCTCTAATTGAGGATGGCAAATACAGACTGAAACAGATGAAAATATGTTTACTGTTCAAAAATTCACAAAACCAGTAAGCGTGAAAAATTTAAATAATTTTACTTTCAAATGATGTTTTCTGTAAGTTTGTAGAATTTATACTTCTAAAGTTATTAAAGCTTAAAACTGCACTGAGTCTATTGGTGCATTATTGTATTTGAACTGACCTTTGTTCGCTCTTATATAATGGCTGTAATTTTTAACAATATTCTTCCCCGGGAGGAGAATATTTACTTAAGAATGGAAATGTCTTCTCACTTGTTAGCCTGAAGCCTTGCTAAGACAAGTACCAGCTACCATGTGGCTATCTGATAACCCAAAATATGTAGGAAATGAGTTGATTGTGCTTTTCTTTTCTCAACCTAAAAATTTAGTTATTCAACTGGTGTTCTCATCAGGAACCCAGCAGTCAGAACAAAACACTAGATTGAATCCTGCTGGTTGCTGGAATTTAGCAGCAGAGCAAGCCAGCTGGTGGCAGCAGAAGAGACAAGATAGAAGATGCAAGATGGCAGCAAAGAATGCCTGAATTCCCAAAGATCATGGTATTCTTCCTTAGAATAAATTTGTGACTTAATTTGCACATCACTTTACGTTTTTTTCAAGTAACTTTTTAAATTTTTTATTTTATTGTTGTACTTTAAGTGAAAGTTTACAATTCAAGTTAGTCTCTCATACAAAAATTTATACATACTTTTTTATGTGACCCTAATTGCTCTCTTTATACTGTGATAGCACCTTCCTCCTTTCCACTCCTGATTTCCCATGTCCATTCAACCAGCTCCTGATGCTCTTTGCCTACAAGTAACTTTTATGTAAAGGACACATAGTCAAGCTTTCATTCATATCATTTTTATTTAGTATATTATTCTTAGACACCAAATATACATTTTGACTCTATGCAAAATAGCTGCATGTTAAAAATATTTGACTAAAACAGAATATCACCATTATATAATAAACTTCTGAGATACAACAATAAACATAGAACATAAAAATTAAATATTAAATTTTTTATCTTATTACAATTTTATTATTAAAAATGTTGGTATTCAAATTTTTAAAAGTTTTTTTTACTTAACATTTTTATATATTTTTTATTGTGCTTTAAGTGAAAGTTTACAGTTCAAGTCGGTTTCTCATACAAAAATTTATACACACATTGCTATGTGACCCTAGCTGCTCTCAAAAATATGGAACGCTTCACGAATTTGCATGTCATCCTTGTGCAGGGGCCATGCTAATCTTCTCTGTATTGTTCCAATTTTAGAATATGTGCTGCTGAAGCGAGTGCTCAATTTTTTTAAAAGTTTTTTAACGATACATTCAGTAATATTTATTGCTCATTAATGTAAGCTGATAGTTTCCTTCTGGGGGCATTGTACTCTACATTTATGGCACTGAATTGCATCAGTTAGAATAAGCTATGTTATGCTTTGGAAACAAACCCTAAAATCCCAGTGGCTTAAAACAGCAAGAATTTATTTTTCTTCATGCTACGTATCCGTCAAGGAGCCCTGGTTGCACAGTGGTTAAAGCACTTGGCTGCTAATCAGAAGGTCGGCGGTTGGAACCTGTCAGCCACTCTGCAGAGAAAGATGTGGCAGGCTGCTGCCGTAAAGATTTACAGCCTTGGAAACCCTATAGGGCAGTTCTACTCTGTCCTATAGGTTCGTTATGAGTCAGAATCGACTGAATGGCAGTGGGTTTGTTTTGGTTTTTATGTATCCATGATGGATAACTTAGCAGGATGTTCCAGTGGGAGGATAGCAGGCTGATGGAGACTCCACCTTTTTATCATGCCCACATCTCAACGTGAGGCTTCAGGGTTCGCTGAGGCAGCGAAAGAGAGGACTAGGAGTCTACCATCAGCAGTTAAATACTGCACCCCAGATACACATGTTACTTCCAGTTATATTTCTTTGGCCAAAGCTAGTCAAATAGCTGTGCCTACCTTAAAGGGCTGCTGTTGTGTGCTGTGGAGTCATTCCAACTCAGAGACCCTATAGGACAGAGTAGAACTGCCCCATAGGGTTTCCTAGGCTGTAATCTTTACGGGGAAAAGGAGCACTGGTGGTGCAGTGGTTAAGCTTGGCTACTAACCAAAAGGTTGGCAGTTCGATCCCGCCAGCCACTCCTTGGAAGAAAGATGTGGCAGACATAACAGCAGTCTGCTTCTGTAAAAATTACAGCCTTGGAAAGCCTGTGGGGGCAGTTCTATTCTGTCCAGTAGGGTTGCTATGAGTCGGAATCACCTCGATGGCGGTGCGTTTGGTGTTTTTGGTTTGGTTAATCTTTACGGGAGCAGATCACCATGTCTTTTCTCCCATGGAGTGGCAGGTGGGTTCAAACTGCCGACCTTTTGGTTAGCAGCCCAGCACTTAACCATTGTGCCAGCAGGGCTCCTTACTTAAAGGGCAGGGTGACATAGGTCAACCGCTGGATGACCTATGTCCGGTGATTTTGGTTCCTAGGTAACACTTAGGGGATGAGGCCATCTGCCGGTCGACCTGGTCTCTTACCGTGCATGCACAGGATTCTAGTTCTGATTGGCTGATCTAAAGGACAGCTACAAGCAGACAGATTAGGAGGAAGCAAACAGCATTCACACCCTTCTCTTTCTAGACAAAATTTTTAACCGACATAACTTGTCGTTTAAAGCCTTTTCTGTCCCTAGCTGGTCTCAGCATTATCACATAAATATATGCTCCCTTTCACCTAAGGAGGGTAGAGTAGCAGATAATGTTTGGTTAGTGTCTTAGTTACTTAATGCTTCTGGAACACAAATACCACAAGTGGGTGGCTTTAAAGAACAGAAATTTATTTTCTCACAGTTCTGGAGGCTAAAAGTCCAAATCAGGGTCTTGGCCTTGTTGATTCCTTCCTTGTTGGTAGCTCTGGGTGTTCCTTGGTATTCCTTATAGACGATTCTCACATGGCATCTGCCTTCTCAGTTGTTTGCCTGCATCTGGGTCTTATCTGCTCCTTGTAACTCAGAAGTGACTAGGTTTAGGACACTACCCTACACTGATACAGCCTCATTAACATAACAAAGGAAACCCTATTTCCAAACAGGATCACATCCACAGGTATACAGGTTAGAATTCCAACACATATTTTGGGGAGACACAATTCAATCCATAACAGTTAGCTCTGCCATTATGGGATACT